ATTATTTTAGTTATGAATGGTTTGTCAATTCAAAAACCCAAATGGAAGTTGGAGAAACTTTAGTCACCACACTAAATATTATTGCTGATTCCCTGCCAAATGTTTCTCAAACTATGAGCTAACTTCAGTTTTTCTCCTACTGAGACCAAGAATGTGCTGGAAACAAGAGGTCCCTGCCAAACTAGCAGATATAACGAAAGATCAAAAGTAAAGGCATGTTCATTTTCATAGATGGAAACATCCTCAATAAGACATTGGCAAACAGAATACAGAGGATCATCAAGAATCATACACCCTCACCAAGTGGGATTCATTCCAGGGATGCAAGGATGGTTCAACATATGTAAATAAATAAATATATTATACCATATTAACAGAGTCAAGGAGCAAAATGATCATCTCAGTGAATGTAGAAAAAGCATTCAGAGAAATCCAAAACCCATTCATGACAAAAACCCTACAGCAAATTGGAATTGATGGTCTTTTTTTCAACCTGACAAAGGCTTGAAATCTATGAAAATCTATGAAAAACCAACAGCCAACAGCAGACTAAGTGGTCAAAAACTAAAATTTTTCACCCTAAAATCAGAAACAAGACAAAAATGTCCACTATCACCACTCCTATTCAATATAGTTCTAGAAACATTAGACACAGCAATTAGACAAGAGAAAGAAATAAAAGGAATAAAGATAGGAAAGGAAGAAGTTCAACTGCCATTATTTTCCTGATGACATGATGCTCTACATAGAAGACACAAAACTCTGCAAAAAGACATGTAGGCTTAACTGACAGATTCAGCAGAATAGCTGGATACAAGCTCAACACTCAAAAATCAGTAGTCTTCTTGTGCACAAATAACAGGCTCATTGAGAGAGAAATTGGGGAAACAATTCCTTTCACAATACCATCCAGAAAAATGAATTATCTATGAATCAATCTAATGAGGGAAGTAAAAGATCTCTACCTTGAAAACTACAGCACTCTGAAAAATGTAATTCAAGAGTATATAAGAAATTGGAAAGAAGTCCCTTGTTCCTGAGTAGGAAGAACCAATACAGTAAAAATGACCATACTTCCCAAACTGCTACATAGATTCAATGCAATTCCAATTGAAATCCTAACAGTATATTTCATGTAAATATGGAAAAATATCAAAAAATTCATTTGGAATCAAAAGAGGCCTAGAATAGCAGAAGCAATTGTAGGCAACAGAGACATAGCAGGGTGTATCACAATCTCCAGCTTGAAACTATACTACAAAGCACTGTGATAAAAACAGCATGGTACTGGGAAAGTAACAGACCCAAGGATCAGTGGAATAGATTAGAAGATGCAGAAACAAGTCCAGTACACTCAGCCACTCATCTTTGAAAAAGGAGCCAACCACCCTCACTGGAGGAAAGATAGCCTTTTTAATAAATACTGCTTGAAAAACTGATTTCACCCTGCAAAAGATTAAAACTAGACTCATAACTTTCCCCATGCACTAAACTAAAATCAAAGTGGATCAAACATCCAAATGTTAAAAAAAGAAACACCAAACTTGCTGGAAGATTGATTAGGTAGAATTCTTGATGACATTGGAATAGGAAAAGGCTTTATGAAGAAAAACTCAGTAGCGTGGGAACTAGTATGAAGAATCAACAACTGTGATCTCATCTTATTAAAAATCTTCTGCACTACAAGAAAAATCACCAACAGAGATAAAAGACAACCTACAATGTGGGGAAAAAAGTTTACCAGCTGTTCCTTAGACAAAGGACTACTAGCTAGAGTATACAAAGAATTAAAAAAAAAGACACCCCAAATTTAAAGACCCAATCCAAAAATGTGCATCTGAAAGGAAAAGACACATCTCAGACAAAGAAGTAAAAGCAGCAAATAAACATAAAAAATGTTCAGCATCACTGGTCATTTGAGAGATGCAGATGAATACAACATTGAGATTTCACCTCACTCCAGAAAGACCAGCTGCTTTGAAGAAATCAAAAACAGCCTGGGATGTAGCTTAGTGGCACCATGCATGCTGTGCAAGTGGAAGGTCCTGAATTTGATCTCTGGTACCAAAAAGGAAAAGAAGAAAAGAAATCAGACAACAACAAATGCTGGTGGGATCATGGGGGAAAAGGAACCCTTCTCCACTGTTGGTGGGAATCCAGATTGGTGCAACCACTGTGGTTATCTATATGGTGATACCTCCAAAAGTAGGATTAGAGGTCCCATTTGACCCAGGTATTCCCCTGAGGGTTATCTTCCAAAAAGAATTAAAAGAATCATACCACAGCAATATATGCACACCCATGTTTATATTGGCAAAGTTTGTAATAGCTAAAATTTGGAATCAACCCAATTGCCCATCAACTGGAGAATGGATACAGAAGATTTTTTATGGAGTTTTATTCAGCCATAAAGAATGAGAAATTACAGACATTTGTAAGTAAATCTATACACATAGAAGTGATGCTCTTAAGAGAAAAATATAGGACATACATGTGTAAATAACAAATAGTTTCTTTGGTGTGAGAAACTGAAAGTGTAAAAAAGATCAGTATGTATACTAGATAATGTGAAATAGGAAGAAAAAGTCTAAAAGGGAAATGGAAGTGGGAGGGGTGGGGATAAGAATGAAGAAAAAGAAATAAATATGAGAAAAGGAAAAAAAATGAAAACAAAGTCTTTGTAAATAGGGAGGGGTGGAGGGATTGAAGGAGGAATTCTGAAGAGGTTAGGATGAATGCTAAAAATGCCATTGCCATGGTATAGTAACTGTCTCCACAATTTCTGTTAATCAATGACTCTTGGATTCTCTTCTGACCTTGCCAATCACTGCAGTAATTGTGGCCCTCTATCTTTTGTTCTTAAGTGGAGCGACTCTTCATTAAAAACTTCATACCCCATTATCTGCACAAATATTCATGAGCCCAGCTCCATGTCCATCTCTCCTGCTCCTGTCCTCTATGAATGAGAGCCATCACTGAACTTTTGTGATGCTTAGTGCCCCTATCAGAAGCCCTACTACTAAAAACTAACCACATTAATTAAAGTGACCGTATAGCTCAGTGATATCTCTAACTATACATAACCCACGTTCAATGTTATAAAATAAAATGTTAGGCCAGTAAGCTTTCACAATGTTTACTAAATCCTAGTCTTGTTTAATAACTGATTTTTTTAGACATCATCTTATGGTCAACATGTTTACTAAGTGAAAACTTATCAGATGTACAACTCCTTATACTCTATGGACCAAACAATAACTGTGCAGAACACTGGATAATGACATACACTTGCTCAGAGTTTTCAGAGAAGACATGTTTTCAAACTGTGCCTGATACTAATATTTAACACCTTGGATTTAGTGATTATAGTTCTCATACAATTGAAGTGTAAGTACCTTATTGAGATAACATTTTGACAGTTTCACTGAACTTTTCAAATTAGCATAATACATTCAAGAGAAGAGTATAGGGAAAAATGAAAATTAAACATGAAGTGATTGTTATTAAAGGAAAATGAAGCAAGACAAAACAGGAATGTCAATTTTTTCTTTTTTTTCAGTACTGGGGATCAAACCCGGGTCCTTGAACTTATGCAGCAGGCAGTGAAACCACTGAGCTAAATCCCTGGCCTGAAAGTCAAATATTGAGGTGAAAAAAATCAAACAAATTCATACTATTGGTTGGAAGGAAAGAGATCAAGAATGGATTTCACAAAGTTTAAAAACTCAATACAAGACAAATCCTATTCAAAGTAAAAGGTGAGTTAAAACTAATAGCTTCATAAAATTTTTTTTGGGGGGGCTCTTAAACAGTATTCAGTCTTTTGACCAAACAAGGGTATAACAGTTAAATGATTATAACTAAATGATTGTATTTTACAATAGTTTGTGAACACAAAGTAATTTTCTTTGGTAAAATTGACAATTAGCTTCACTCAATATTTTTAACACTGCATATTAAAAAACATTTATATTACAAATTGTTCTGCAATGCAATTCAAGTATATAATAGCTTGAAAAAAAACATTTTGTAAACAAATACCAATGTAAAAAAGACAGTAAAACAACTAGAACAGTAAGGGTTTTACACAGATCAGATTTTACAGTTTTCTTGTTTCATCAACCATGTCAGAAATCTGTTCCCTTCAGCTGCCTCCATGATTCCAGATTTAAATAAATATTTTTTTTTCTGGGTTTCATTTCACTTTCAATGTTCTCTTCAAAGTCTGCAACACTCGTTTTTCTCATTTTCCCAATCTGAAACATGTTATCATCTCTGCTGCAGCTCTGCTTGGAAGCTAACAGGGCTCTTGATGTTTCACCAGTTTTGCTTCTTTACAAGTTATTTGTAGAGCAACTTGCTTTTACTTTAACTTTTTGTGAAATTCACTGTCAGAATTGCTGCCCTATGGCTTGAGCAAACAAGTTACTTGTTTGAGAGATCCCATGAAAAATAACTCAAAGAGAGATGAAATTTTTTTCTTGATTAACTAAATGGTCTATACATATTTTAATCTTTGGTGATTGAGGAAGACTTCCTGAAGTTCTTTAGGTAGGAAGCTTTAACAAGCTGATTCATCAACATGAAGCTTATAAAATTTGTAAAAAAAGCATTTTATTGGTAGATGGAGACAAGGAATAGTAAATCACATATTGGGTGCTTTAATAAGCACAGTCTAGAAATGGTATGTATCACTTCCACATACATTCTATTAGCCATAACTTAAAATACATAGCCCCATATAACAGTATAAAAAGATAGTAGAAAAATACAGTCAACTGTATTTCCAGAGATAACACCCAAACAACAACTTTGGCTATATTGTAATAGTAAGTATACACAATGAGTTTGGTTTTGATGAAGATAAATAATACAATTTTCAAGTTTCACCATTAGCAAACTTAGAGAAAAAGTGTATTCATTTGAATGAGGAATAAATTATATGCACAAATGATGTTAAAAGCATTTCACGTTTACTTTGAATTGTATTATTCCCCTTATTACAACTTTGAGAGGAATGCAGCTGTTTTAATTGAGTCATGAAAAGCTTGCTTCACTTGTTTGTTTCTTAGTGTGTAAATAAAAGGATTCAACATTGGTGAAATAGAAGTAATAAGGAGTGAAATTCCCTTATTAATAGTCACTTCATCCTTGGCTGAAGGCTTGACATAAATGAAGATGCAGCTTCCATAAGTAATGGAAACAACAATCATGTGGGAAGAACAGGTGGAAAAGGCCTTTTTCCTTTGGTGGGCAGAGGGGAATCTTAGAATAGTCCTGATGATATAAATGTAGGAAAGCACCACACACAAGAGGGTGATGATGAATGTCAACACAGCACACACTATCACTATCTGTTCTATCAACCACGTGTCTGAGCATGAGATCTTCAGGATAGGAGATACATCACAGCAAAAATGATCAATGATATTTGAGTCACAGAATTCCAGGCCCAAGCCAAGAGAAAGAGGTGGAAGAATAATGATCAGTGCTGCTACCCAACAGAAGAGGATGAAACTCTTGCAGGCTCTGCTGCTCATGATGCTCATGTAATGTAGTGGTTTACAGATAGCCACATAACGATCATAGGACATGGTGGCCAGGAGATAAAATTCAGTTACTGCGAAGAGGTCTGTAAACAACAGTTGACTGGCACATGCAACATAGCTAATGGACTTGTCTCCAGATAATATGCTGTACAAAAATCTTGGAACACAAGCTGTTGTGAATGAAATTTCTAAGAAGGAGAAATTTTGCAGGAAAAGATACATGGGCATTTTAAGGTGAGAATCAATCAGAGTGAGGGTGATGATGGTTAGGTTTCCAGATACACTCAACAGATAAGAAAAAAATAGAAAGATAAAAAGCAGAATTTGTAGGTGAATGTCATCTGTCAGTCCCATCAAGATGAAGGTTGTTATTGTTTGGTTTCTCATCCTTGATTATTTTCTCTTGCCCAATCTGTTTGAAACATCAGGAAAGACTTTATATGCAGAACTCCAGAATTTAGTGATTTTATAACTTCAAGGGAAGTAACCTTCAGCTGATTCCTATACCATTACTTAGTGAAGGAAGCACACAACACATACAGATGTTTGATCACCTCCTCTTTATGTTGTACAAGCTGCTCACATTTGGTTCACATATTTCATACTGCTCCTTCTAATCCATCTACAATCTGTATTTGGTGTCAATTCAACATATCCTACAAACATTCAAAAAATTTCCCTTTAAATAAGTTGCTTTTGGTTCAACAATTTTTCTTTTCCTTAATTTCTTATTCCAAAATAGGGTTTTAGTGAGAATTCCCAAAATAAAGAGTGATTTTTGTTTACAAAATCCTAACATTAAAGTTTATGTGTGTATTAGTTATTGAACAGACAATAAATACATGCTGGTTGCTTATCACATAGAAGATGGAAACAGTTTAGTGCCTAGTTTTTAAGATATTTTATTGGATATATCTCCATAAAGATTTGTATGTGTTACAGATATGACCATTTGTTACAAATGTGTCCAAAGATTTAAATGTGTTCATTCCAAGTATTTCAATTTTTTTCCATAGAAACTTATTTAAGGGTATGTATGTTCTATTTGAAATATCCATCTTTAGCTATATTTTCCTCTTAATGTTAGAAAAATGTCTATGTTATGTATTTTTATGTTTCCTACTTGTAACATCATTCTACAAACAATTTCTTCCCAGGTTACAAGTGGAAGTCTGGAATTGCATCATCTACGTAATTATTTTTAGGTTCTCTTAACAGTGAGAACCATGGGCCCGCAAACTAGATGCTAGAGTTTCATATTCTCTAGATCTTAAGGATTCTCCTTTGTTTCCACTGTTTCTCCATAAGAGCAGATTTTTAATATTTCAATTCTCAAATGAAGTTCTTTTGTTCCTCTTTAAGTACATTTGTCTGTAACACATTTCTATTCTTTGTTTGTACTACACAGTGATAGTTTTGATTCAACGTTTATTGCAAAGAAATAAGGGAATTAGAAATTATGGGGCTAGAGAGCCACATCCTTGCATTCTTGTAATATGGGTAAACCTTGTTTCAGATTGAAACACACTCAATAACTTTATTATAAATGACAATGACATTTAGTAACATCTAATCAGCAAAGTCAAACCATTTTTTAGGCATACTTCTACTCTTTACTTCCACCTAAATTCTGTGTGCTTTATAATTGTCTCCATGTTCCTATTTTCCACTTATATGTCAAGTCATCTGATTTTTGAATTATTTAAACTATTGGCCAAAGTCACTACCAATTTCTTCTTGTTTCACTCATTTATCACAATTTGGTCTTTATTTAGTTCACACTGTCTGTTTCATGAGACTGTGAAGTATTAACTTCATGAAAGGCTGTACGCTTTAATTTACAAGATGTCATATTTTTCTGAATTTCTTCTTACCACTTTTCTCTTTTCCATTCTCTGCATGGCTTCTTGTCCTTTTCTAATATTTACAGCTGGTGCATCTCATGTCTGTCTCTTTTGTTGGTACTTCTCTCTTTTCCTGTACTCTCTATCATGAGGAGATTCTCATAAATAAGGTGATTTGAAATAGGCTGTCTACAAATTTTTATCTCCAGATAAGACTTAAAGGGTCTGAATTCAGGATTTTCTTTTTCCTATCCAAATGTTCTTGAACTGTATGCTTGACTTCATCTTGTGCTTTTTTTTTACATGTAAAATTCACATATAATTTATTTTTTAGCACTGGTGATTCTAATAAATATGAGGGATATTTCATTTAGGTTCTAATTTGCATTTCCCTTATGATAAGAGATGTTGAACATTTTTACATGAACCTTTTATTCATTCATATGTTTTCTTTTGAGAAATATTTATTAAATTCTTTCTCCATTTTAAAATTAGACTGTTTTGTTGGTATTGGGTTGTTATTTCACTTATTAGACCCTTGTTACATGTGGGTTTTATAAGTATTTTCTGTGAATCCATGGTTTGTCTTTTCACTCTGTTAATTACTTCCTTTGATGTGTGCAGAAGATTTCAAGTTTCATGCTATCCCCTTTGTCTATTTTTGCTTTTTGCAAATGATCTTGAAGTTCTATCTAAAAAATATTTGCTTAAGGGGAAGGGGAAAGGAAAGAAGGGAAAGGAAAAATTATAAGAAAAGGAAAAAATGGAAACAAATTCTTTGTAAATAGGGAAGGGTGGAGGGGGTGAAGGGAGCACAGGGAATGGGGAAAGAATAAGAACAATGATACATCATGTACAGGTACAAGTAACCAATGATAAATGTAAACATTATTGTATACCTAAAATGTACCAATAAAAGAATTTAAGCAAAAAAAAAAAATTTGCTGAGACTAATGTTGTATAGCTTTCTTCCTATGTTTTTTATAGTAGGTTTATTGTTTTAGGTCATACATTTAAAATTGTATCCACAAATTTGAAAATAATGAATCATATCAAGTATTGGCAAAGATGTGGAGAAAATGGAACACTTGCACATTGTTGTTGGGAATGTAAACTAGTAATGGTACTTTGAAAAATGGTATAACATTCAACCCAAATTATAAATATGGTTACCATATTATCTAGTAATGTCATATATGGATATATATGTGATTTAAAATTGCTCTGTCAAAAAGGTACCTGCTCTTCTGTGTTCATTTCCCCATTATTCTCAATATCCAAGAATGGAAAGCAACTTAAATGTGTATTAATGGATAAATAAAGAAAATGTGGTATGTTTCCCCAGTGTAATAGTGTACATCCTTAAATAAGAAGGATATTCTTTCATTTGTGGTATTATAGGTGTAAGTAAAGTATTTTATGCTATATGGAATAAGCCAGGGATAGAAAAAAAATGAATACTGATAGTTTCATTTGTATATTTACTTTAGTAAAGCCAATCTTATAAAGTTTGAAACCATAAAAATGATTAGCACAAGCTAGAGAAGAAGAGATATGCAAAAAAGAAGATGCTGACCAAAGGCATAAAGTTTCAGTCACACTGAAGGAATGCTTTATTGATCTATTGCACAGTGTGGTGACAACATTTAACGAAATGCATATTTTGAAATTGCTAAAATAGAATTTGTTAATTAATATTTTAATTGTACATATTTATGGGAAACTGTGATAATTTAATTTATAATATGCTTCTAAAAATGATAAATTGGTGAGGTAATATATCTGATTAGCTTGATTGAATCTGTGTTGTGTACATGTTAAAATATCACACTGCTCTCCACAAATATGTGCTCATTATTAGTCAAGTAAAAATAAGCTAGAAAAAATAATATGTATCATTTGTTATAATAATGTTTAGGTAATATAGATAAATATATCTACATCTGGAACAGTGAACACTCCATATATTTATTGTATGAAGCATTCTTATTTTGCTATTTTCTTTTGAAAGTATTCTAGATATGCATATTTCAATATTTTAAATGTGGCACTCACTATTTTTTTTCCTTGTTCATCCTAAGTCTCATGACAATATATGTGTTTATACAATATTTTCACTTGTTTTGTTTATTCCAATTTTCCAGTTTATACTAAGATCTTGGTATTTTTGTGCCCTCCATATCTTGTTAATTTGTTATTTTCTGTGCTCATTCACTAATTTTACTTTGCATGTTTCTATCTCATGGCTGAAATATTCCTAAAGCATGTTAACATTTTCTTGACCTCTGCTTTCCTCCATCTTCCAAAATCAAGATAGTCTGCATAATTTTTCAATGTGATTAGCCCTCTTCTACATGTTATGAACGATTTTGATCTATTATTAATGAACTTTCTACCTATACTCAACTCAGCATTTCTTTGAAAGCCTTGATTCATCTACTTTCACATGGAAATTAATTCATTTGGTTTTCGGTGAGAACCATGGAGAGGAGAAAGTACACGTTCATGGGTTGTGAGTTTCGACTGCATTAACTATTTGAATTAATGGAATTTGGGGGTCAATAAATAATTTTATTTAGGAAAATGGCTAGGATGTGGCTTTTCATCCTTAGAGAATTTACGAGACAGTTTTAGCAGAGGATAAGAGTTAGAGAATAGTTTAATAAACTTATGGATTTAGAATTATAGAAGAAAAAAATGAGATAGATTTCTTATCCTCAGAGATCTAGGAGAATAATGGTAAGCAATAATTTGTGCTTCTTAAATATAGGCTAAAATAGTTTTAGAAAATCACACAATTTTATTATTCTCAAGTCCACATACAATTAACAAAAAGATGTTCTCATGCCCAGCAGAAAGTACAGAAGGACCTTAGACATCTCACAATTTTTCTGCACTACACAAGAATAATTAAAGTAGCTTGAATTTTACATAGAGAACAAATAAATGTACTTGAAAAGCATATATGGAAGGGGTTAAACAGATGCCATGGTAATGAGGTACCTGAATAGGTGTTTGAGGACAGAGAGATAATAAATGCCCTGGTGAATGCCACTCCCAACGGACACTGACATTTCTCGAACTCTTAACACATCTCGACTCCGTAAATGTACAGGATGAACTTGAGTTGAGGTCAGCAATACAGATCTATGGAGGTTCTTTAAAGTAAGGTATTTGGGCTTGGTCATGAAGGAAGAAACATTAGATTGAACTAAAATATAGAATTTATTTTGTTCAGAATTTGTAAGTCTTTGTAAATGAAACATTAAGTTTAATTATTTCAATGATCATAAAATTGCCCTCATCCTAAAAGTTAAATTCCTCAGTTAAAATATGAAGACCTGTCTGGTATGTTCAACCTCAATTCACACAATTTACATAATTTCGTGTACAGTTGCCTAGTATAAGCTGCTCTGGCTAAGGAGAGAAAGCATGTCATAGGTCTAAAGAGTATAATCTATGAAGTCAGGCTGTGGTTTCATGGTTGTTTTGGTTCAATTTACTAATTTATTAATGGTCCCCACCAAAGCCTATGCTTATAAT